CTCTTACTCTATACATATGACTGATATTCAGCCAACAATAATAACTCTTATTCAACTATTTGTTTTCCGCATTCAAAGATTTGTATTTCTCTTTAGTTGGACATAGCTCAGACAGTAATTCAGCCTTAGAAGAAGTTCCACCTCTCATGTACTTTGTCTTTACTCCACCCCCAAGACGAGCTATGTTATAAGCAGCAGTTGTAGTAAACTTTCAAAAGTAGAAAGACTGCAGAAAAATGAGATATCAGTCAACCATCATATCCTGTATTATTTGTGACACACGTAATGCAACAATGAATCAGCTTTTCTTTGAATGTAATATCACCAAGAGCTTGTGGTTCAAAATGATCAGCTGGATAGGTGAATTAAGAGTGGTAGGTGCAGGGAGAAGTCGTCTGGGCAACAAAATGCGCAAAAAAAAAAACTCAGGAAAAGGGAGCATCTTCAGTTGTATGTTGCGATGGTAGCTACTGTAAAATAGAGGGAAAGAAACATGAAGAGATAGCGTCATTTCAGTTTTTATATATGAGAAATTTCCATTTTATTTGATGTGTTGAATATTTGTTTACTTCTCGGATGTATTGCTCAACCAGATCCAAAGATTGAAAAAGTGAAGTCTCAGGTGAAATTTTTCCTTTCGATGTCACCAACTTAAGCCCTCGTCCTCGTCCACTTCCAATTTCCCCTGGTGCGACAAATTAGTATCTCATAGTACTCTTTGTAACTGATTCATCCTCATTTTTGGTCTTCACATTAAACCTGCATGAAAGATATCAAAACTATCACTTTTTGAACTTTCAATATGCAACACCACATGAGGTCATTTGCATCAATACTATCTCGTTTGACATCTTCTATTAGTTTCAAAACCAAACCAATATATAACTTTTACACTTTTCAAGTTCTAACTTACAACATCCACTTTTCTGTCGTGCTCTTTTAGACTTTAAAGTTGTATATAGTTCACATATAATTCATGATGGATTTCTCAACTTCAATGCAACTCTCTTTATATTATCTCTAAATAGTGTTCTACCTAATTGAGTTGTTAGTGCCTCTTTCAAAGGGAAAGAAACATGAAAACGAGCAGAAGCTATTATAAAAAAGAGATGATGCAAATGGCCACCAACTATAAAACTGAATCTTTGCAAAACAAAAAAAACCAATCAGCAGCTATAATTCAAGAAACTATTACACAAAAAAAACTGATGCAAATGACCAGAACCTATTAAACTGAATCTGTCTTAAAAATGACCAGTATTACATAAAAGAGTTGATGCCAATTTCCAGCAATTATAAAACTTAATCTTTCTAAGAAAAACTTAAGCATCTATAAATCAAACAACAAGATCTATAACTCGAACAACATAAACAACAAATCAACTTTAAAGAAACAGAAAAACTCGCCGAAGTAGATGCATACCTGAGACTCGATTGAATAGAAGATATAATTTGAGTTGAGATGCTGCTAGGCCTCTGCTTTTTATAAACTAAGGTAATATAGCTGAAACACTAGGACATGCGCTTTTGTTTGCTGCTACAGACCTATTCTTTCTCTGTTTTTAAAAAATACAGATTTTTAGTTGAGAGTATAGGCTGAGATGTGCAAGTAGATCGATTTTAGAAAAAATGTTGGTAGGGTAGTCTGATTCTCACAATGAGTTTTGGAAAACAACTTTAAAACTAAAACTATAAAACTACTCTAGATTTCACTTTGTTTGAAATCTAGTCCCTTGTGTTGTCGTATATAAAACATAATCAATTTTATTACTACAAGATGATAAAGACTTCAATATAAAAAATCTTTGTGCTTTATAATCATCAACTAATCAAACAAAAATCAAATATCCATTCATAAATGGAACTTTGGTGGCCATTGAAGAAGGGAAATCAGGAAGCAGAGAATAACAATAGTCGCAGGGGTTCTCTTAGTTATTTTTCAAAAAGAAAAAAGCTTTAATTTATGGGTTATCTGACTTTTCGAACACACAATATGATACAAACTTGAATAGACTTCAACAAATCAAACCATCAATTAGAATCTGAACTCAATAAAACTAGAAAACTTGGGAAAAGTTGAACGGCGTAGCAGCGAAACAAATAAAAAGAAAATTTTTTTACCAGAATTTTGTAGTAGAGACTAGAAAACAGAAATGTTGATGATCAATAGAGAGGCTTTTGGGAAGAGCTAGATAACCCTCGGCAGAACTTGCACTTGATCTAAATGAAAAAGAAATGGCGTGTGTTCTTGGGAATGCCTAAAGGGAAAGTTAAAACCCTTGGGTATTGAGAAAACAGAGTGTTTCTTTTGACGCCTAAATTTTCAGGAAAAAAAAGTGTGTTTTATTAAAAACTTTAAGGATCGTTTGGCAGAGGGTATTAAAAAAAATAATACATGCATTAGGTGTGTGTATTAGTAATATATTGTTTGTTACATTTTTTTTGGTCATGTATAACTAATACAAGCATTAGTTATACACAATATTATGTATTAAGTTGTGTATTACTAATACCAAGAAATTTTAGGTATTAGTAATACATAGCATTTTTACACTTGCATTAGATTATGCAATTACAAAAATACCCTCAAAGCCCTTTAAAAAAACATTTTCCATAGTACTTGTTTCATCTTCTCTTTCATCTTCTCTGTACGTTGTCAATGAAAATTCAAGAGTAATTTTTCTTCCTTTTGCTCAATCAAACATTGTTTGCTCATCTTCATAAGGTTAGTACTCTTATCTTTCATTAAAATTTGTATTTTTCAACATCTCTTTCTTCATTTTTATTTTCTCTCTCTTTGCTCATAGTTTTGAGCTTTAGTAGGGGCGATCCAAGCTTTAACATTCCAGAATAATCTGGATTATCATTTTTTTTGAATCTATATCAGTTTTTTTTTACT